TCTTCTAAATAATGGCAAAGTACAACTTTTAAAAGCACACCCATGGTGATAACTACCGGTAACTACAGTACTTTGTTTGAACATGTGGCTATAACTATTTTTTTTTTCAAATGGAACTTTCCAGCCTTTGCCCATGAGATTCTACCCATACACTTGGAAAGTGGAGATCATCTTTAGGTCCATCTAAACCAAGGAGGGGTGAGACAAGGTTGGAAAAAGAGGAAGAGGAAAGGTAAGACAGGGCATGGGTGAGGGAGAAAGATCAGGCTTTGTACACCAGCTCAGTAAGCTGTCAAACAATTGGACCACAATTTACTTGTGTAGGGAAATATTCTGATTCTCACATCATTCCAGACAGACATCCCAGATGTCATGAAATCACCAGAGGTCAGATAAAGAGTGGGGAGAAAACTCAAAGGAAGAAGGTACAGAAAGAGAAAGGAAGGCTTTGGATAGATATCATCATCATCATGTGCCCTCAAATCAGTTCTGAGGTGACCTTCGTGGCGCAGTGGTTAAACTGCTGTACTGCAGCCAAAACTGTGCTCACGACCAGGTGTTCAATCCCAGGTAGCCGGCTCAAGGTTGACTCAGCCTTCTATCCTTCCGAGGTCGGTAAAATGGGGACCCAGTTTGCTGGGGGGGCAATGTGTAGCCTGCATAATTAACTTGTAAACCGCCCAGAGAGTGCTTGAAGCACTATGGGGCGGTATACAGTAAGCAGCACGCTTTTATATAAGCAACACGCTTTGCTTTTTCAGAGTTTTCTAAGTAAATAACACTCAGAAGTGGTTTACCATTCCCTTCTTCTGGGGGTGTTCTGGGACTATGCAGTTTGCCCAAGGTTAAACAGGCTGGCTTTTCTAGGATACACAGTGGGAAACTGAACTCCCAGCTACTGGCTCTGCAACCAGATACCTAAACCACTGAGCTATCCAGCCAGCTAAGGATAGATATAATGTGTTGGAAAAGATAAATGAGAGAAGGGCTTTATGTTCTTGACCAGAAGGGAGTTGTGAGGAGTGAGGTCTTTCCATTACAAATAAGGGTGAAGTGAAGCCCAAAGAGTAACTTAAACTGACTGGGAAAAATCTTAATCTGCAGGAATCACACAGCCAATGTTTATTTATATATAAAGCTCTGGTTTTCACATAAATCAAAACCATTCCAAAAACTACACCCACTAAATTGCCATCCTCACATGCGAAGGAGAAGAAGAAAAGAGGATGATAACCATTCAAAGTCATGGAATCGGCCAAGGATGAACAGAAGGTAGCTTTGGGACCTCTGGGTTCAAAATAATCTCTGTATGATTTCTAGGTGATTGGCAAAGACTTCTGACTTTCTAGGTAATTTAACATCCACAGCAATCAATCAACTATTCTTCCCGCCTTAAATTATACTGATAGAAAAGGGTAAGTCTTGATGTTTTTGAGAAAAAACTGAAAACTCTGTTCAGTTATGCTACTTAAAGTTTCGGAACAAATTCCTTGGTTCCAGATATCTATTGTGTGCCTCTAATTGTTTTTTCTTGGGTTCCAAGTGAAAAAAAGGAAATGAAAGCAGATTGAGTTAGTCTGAAAACTGCCCAGTTGGGATCTAGATAATAGCTTTCACTTCATTTATCATTCCTGTGTTTGGATTCTTATGTCAGTTGTCTCCGTTTCTAGAATGAAAACAGCAACGCCTCTTGCAAAAGGGATTTAAGACTTTATGGAATGTGTAGAAAAGCAATTCCCAAACTTTGTTGCAATGATAAACCATAAGGCAAAAGGGTAGCTGGATACCACTATGAAGAATGAAAATTTCATTATCAGAATTGGTATTCTTTTGAAAATTAGTTCCTCAGATCCTCCTGTCTACTACACCTCGATGTCCATTTTGTTGTCTCTCTTGTCATCACTATCCTCATTCCATCTTTTCTCACGAGTAGTTGAGATGAGGGACACCCATGCACCTCGAACCATCTTGGCACACTGCAGCCAATGTTGCCTTAATTTTTGTTCTGATGTAGGTTTTGGTAGGAGAAATTGGCAGCAGACCATTTGAGGTGTCAGCACTTCTAGCTAATAGTCATGGTGCCCCTCATGTCCCCATGTCTGTGCTAGCTAGAGAAATATGGGAAACCTAAGTTCCCCAACCTCAAATTTCATCACTTTAAGGTAAATTGTCTGGAAGGGGAGTACTGTAAAACAAGAGTAGGTTAGCTTTTGATCACCCAGTTGTATTGGACTTTGGCTCTCAGAATTTCCAGCCAGGATAGAAAATGGGATTACAGGAATCATAGACCAGATGTCAATGAAAGAATTTGAGAACATCCAATACCCATGCTCTGCCCCTGGTAAGGGATTGATACACTTTTCATATCCCTTTTGATTCACCTAGAAATACAAAGAAGCATGAAGAGACACACTTGCTGAGCTTTTAGGCTAGTTGTGTATCACCAAATAGGAGGAGATGCAATCACAAGGAAGGAAGGAAGGAAGGAAGGAAGGAAGGAAGGAAGGAAGGAACACAGATTTGTGTAACATTTGCATGTGCTAAATTAAGTGTGCAGATAGAAATATAGAAGTAATTATTGTATACAAATGGAAGTACAAATCTAATCATACTGTCCAAGTCTGAGAGCAGAAGCTCACTCAGTATTTTGTGCAGATACAAAATGTGGATGGCGCTCCTGCTATTGTCCTTTGTTATGATACATTATTTTTCAACCAGACTTAAAGAGCCCATCAATACAGAATGCCTTCAAGCAGAGGACTGTTCTCTGTGATCCCTTCAAACAGAGGATTGTGTTTTGTAAAACTGAGATACATGGCCACCCATGCAGCCAGTGTGCAATCACGAGCTTGTCCAAGATAGTTTTGAAGAGGCTGGAGAACTTCACAGAAGTAATGGAAGTGCATGTCATTTTCATTTCTACTGATTGCAGATTAGATTTGGTGCCACTTGAGAGAAGCCATTCTGTCTCTAAAATGGAGTATGTGTGTATGCAGGATAAGAGCAAACGGATTTTCCTCAGCCTGTCTGTTGGCCATTCTAGAACAGCCTGGACCAATGGCTGGACTGTTTCCCATTGTAGAAGATACAGGAAACATTTCTTATGCAGCAAAGTAGAATAGTGGTCACCTGTACAAGCTGATCAGCAGAAACCATATACACAGCTTTCCACGTGGACTGTGACAGATGAATAAAACACAGCTTCTTGGCTCATGCACAGGACATGCTACTCATTTATTCAGAGCTGGGCAAAAACTGCACTGTGATTCCAGAGTGGATCCTGTTGAACTGTAGCTCCCATTAGTCATACGCACAGATTCCTCATATACTTGCTTTGGTGTAGAGCAGTGGTGGGAACGTGGTGGCACTGCAGAAGCCTCTGTGCTGTAAGGTCTGTAGATCTTCAGCTGTAAGATTGACGGAGTGAGCGCCCATCGCTTGTCCCAGCTCCCGCCAACCTAGCAGTTCAAAAGCATGCAAATGCAAGTAGATAAATAGGGACCACCTCGGTGGGAAGGTAACAGCGTCCCGTGTCTAAGTCGCACTGGCCATGTGACCACGGAAGATTGTCTTCGGACAAACGCTGGCTCTATGGCTTGGAAACGGGGATGAGCACCGCCCCCTAGAGTCGAACACGACTGGACAAAAATTGTCAAGGGGACCCTTTACCTTTACCATAGAGCAGTGGTGCCCAACCTTGTGTAACCCAGGTGTTCATGGACTGCAATTCCCAGAAGCCTTCACCACCAGCTTTGCCAGCCAGGATTTCTGGGAGTTGTAGTTGAACACCTGAGTTGCCCAAGGTTGGGAACAGAGATGGGCATGAACAAAACTACAAACCAGAAAAACCATCAAATCAGGCTGGTGAAAGGTCTTCGTCTGCTTGGGGAAGGACAGCAGAGATGGGGCCAGCCTGAAGGGAGTTCCAGAGTCTGGGAGCAAAACCACAGTCTTCTCAATGGATGTATCTATTGAATTCAGGTGGTACACAGAGGAACATCTTATTCCAATTTGTGTGTTTTTTTTAAGACTATACAAAAATTGACAAATTTCTTCATGTTTGAGGTCAAAAGAATGGGAGAGTTAAAAATGTTGAAGTGGATAAGTAAGACCATTGATAAGCTGGAGCTATGGCCCATCTAAAACTAGGGAAAGTTCTCTCTCTCTCTCTCTCTCAATTCCTCACTAAAACCTGTGTTTCTGCTGGCCGGGTGCTTCTGGGAACTGTAATCCGAAAAGCAAATATTCCAAATTCTGGGCCTAGTCCCACACAAATACCTTTGGAATGAAGATGCCAAGCAGCTCCTGTATATGTTCCATGGCACAGCATTCATCAGCATTAATCAGCCGCACATTGCAAATGACATAGCTTGGCTGTGCATGAAAGGACAAGTGATGTGAAGCAGGACTGAACCTTTCCACCCCTATCAAAATATCCTCTAGAGTTTCCCATTAATTTGAAACAGAAAAGAGGACCTTTCCCTTTAAGTTAGAAAGTACAGTATCTCTTTCCCAATGCAAAATGCTAAGAGACACTGAGAGCACAGTCTGAGCCAGGCTTTTCTTTCCCTTCAAGGGGACCTCTTTTGTTACCGAGCTCTTGAGAAGCTGAGAATACAGTCAGACCACTTTTATTAGAAAGTTGGTTATTATCTGGGCTATGAAAGTCTTTTAGCAACCCTGTAGGTCTCCGTATCGCTGCTGTGTGTTACGATGCCAACTTCATTTGGCAGCTGTCTGCTCCGGAGAATCTCTCCTTCCCTTTCCTGCACAAATGAGCTGGGGTGGGGGCGGGGGCCAGGTGTGTGTGCTCAAGAGTTTACCTGCAGCTTAAGTAAACGATCACCTTGGCTTTACCTATGTCTTTACTTTGAGAAGAGAAAAGCCACCTCCTGTGAATCATGTCTTTTGTTCTAAAGGCAGGGGGGTGAGGAAGCAAGATAAAACTTGGGGGTGGGGGTGGGGAAGAAACAATCTGGAAATGATTTCAAAAAGAAACACAGCCCACTTTGTGCTGACTGACCAATGAGGTGAATTAATGTGCTTGGCGAAGGGTTGAGGGCTGGTCCATTCCGGAGGCTTCACATATCACTTAGCCGGATGGACAACTCCCACAGGGGCTGAAATAAAAGGAGACAAAGAGAAGACAGGAGCTCACATTCCTGCCTCCGGGACACAAAAGTGTGTGTTAGCTTTGTTGCTAAATTTCCAGACCACTCTTATCAATGGCTACGTATAGCTATAGGCAATCCACCTCTTCTGTTGGTGGAGGCCTCGGTGGGTCTTCCTCCTTCCGGTCTCCAAGCATCCACGGTGGATCTGGTGGCCGAGGCATCTCCGTCTCTTCTGCTAGATTTGTCTCCTCTGGGGTTGGTGGTGGCTTTGGTGGTGGTCTAGGTGGTGGCTTTGGTGGCAGCCTTGGTGGCGGCTATGGAGGCAGCTATGGAAGCAGCTATGGAGGCGGCTTTGGTGTTGGTGGTGGCTTTGGTGGGAGTGGATATAGTACCAGCATAAGTGCCAGCGATGGCCTCCTTTCTGGAAATGAGAAGATAACTATGCAGAATCTGAATGACCGCTTGGCTAACTATCTGGACAAAGTGCGTGCCCTGGAGGAGTCCAATGGTGAGTTGGAGGCGAAGATCCGAGAGTGGTATCAGAAGCAGGGGCCCAGTCCAACTCGGGACTACACTGCCTATCACAAGACTATTGAAGACCTTAGAGACAAGGTAAGATTTCAGACTTGCAAACTGCATCTTGAGGCAGGCCTTACATGGCATGAACCACCTTTACCTGTAAACAAGGAAACAAATATTTTGTTGAAAGATTTTCATAAACATGAAAGGTCATTGTTATACAGATTTTGACCATCAGAGGTTCTCCTTATTCGGGAATCTCGGCCACAGTTCTAAAGAACAAGTGTGGAAGAACAACATAATTGTGTTGATTCATGTGAAGGGAAAACATAGATATATGCATAGGATGCAGAGTGCTAATACAAAAAGACAGTGTGATCTCTAACATAGTCTAAGATCTTCACCTTTTCTCTAACAGTTCCTGTACATTCAATACCCTGTTTCCCCGAAAATAAGACAGGGTCTTATATTAATTTCTGCTCCAAAAAAACACATCAGGGCTTATTTTCAAGGGGTGTTTTATTTTTTTCATGTACAGCCATCTACATTTATTCAAATACAGTCATGTCATCTTCTTCTGGTTGCTGCACAACGGTGGAGGGCAGGGTTTCACTTAATTAGGGCTTATTTTTGGGGCAGGGCTTGTATTACGAGCATCCTGAAAAATCATACTAGGTATTTTCAGGTTAGGTCTTATTTTGGGGGAAACAGGGTAGTTACAGTAAGTTCAACTCCTGGACCTTTTCCTGGCAGGTAAATGCAGAAATGTGAAATATGCAACCTCTGCAATGTCTTCTGGGTGCTGCAGGTGTTAGAATCACAAAGAGGTCTTGCCAAAGTAAAAGATGGTAACTCTACTGGAGCTTATTCGCATTGCATGACTTTAAGATGGCAGACCCAGGTTTAAATCCCAGTTCTCAGATATCAAATAACCAAGTGATCCAGAGGCTTCCAGTGGATCTATTTATATAGCAATAAGTGTATATGTGGGGGAAAAACTGTAAAATGAAAGGGCAGACATTCAACCAAGGCTATGTTCCATGCTGGCTTATTTAAGAGAAGCATAATAGCCACAATTTCAGGCTGGAAGGCAGACAAACAAGATAGTTTTTATATTATACATCCATATATTTCCCATTAAAGGTGGTGCCTAAAAACATACTGAGTGCAAGAATCAAAACCACACTTTCATAGCACAGGTAAATACTGTGGCTGCACCTGTCATCCTGGAAATGGTATTCAGGATTCATTGCATAATCATATACAAATGTCTCAATTAGTGTTACGTAAAGATGTAGATATATTTTGCACTTTCACCCCTTTGGTAAACACCTGAAAAGCTGCTAGCCTTGTTCGAGTTTGCAAGAAGGCCCTCTGAAAGATGGGTGCAAGGTTTGCTTTTGCAAACAGCTTTGTTCTGTGCACAGCTCCAAATACAGCTGTCTTCTCATTCTTGGGAACTAGCAGCACCTTGTAAATTGCAGACAATTGGAGTTCAGTGCAATTTGCTCCTTTATCCAATTTTATAGTAGTGTGATTGGACTGAACACAACCTATGCCTCTCTCCCTGGCACAAAGATGATAGCAATGATATATGCTTTCTGTTATTAATTCCCCTCAGGCACAATCTGATTTTGTTGGGCTGAATTTTCTAGGTCTAGCTATACCAAGTGATCAATTCAGTGACAGACAGGCCTCCCCGATAGCCCTGTGTGCAGCTTTGTGGATTAATAATTAAATGCCAACTTCCAGCTGAACAATAGTTTCTTTTTGGGTGTGCAAATGGAATCTGAACTATATAAACGACAACTTTCTTAAAGCAGTGCCTCTTCAGATGCTGAATCTAAATGTACTTTTATAAGTACGTATTTAACACCTTAAGGTTGTAGATCACCCTAAGCTCTAAAGGTTTAGAGGGAATGAAAGCAGGTTGGATCCAGGCTGATGATGTCTAACCCAATGGAATAAGTAATTTGTACCCTCTATTTATTTGGTGGTTTTTATAACATTTATATCTTGCTCGTCCTTTAACAAAGTGAAAACAGTATGCCAAATACACTGGATTGTCCTTCAGGTTCATATCCTCACAACAGCCCTGTTAGGCTTGCAGTTGGTGACTTATCCAAGCTCATTCAGTGAGCTTCATGGTCAAGTAATTCGAACCCACGTCTGCCCCACCCTAGTTAAGCACTGTGACTACTACACCATATCCCATTATTTTCAAAGGCACTACATTCGTTTAACTTGAAGTGTTACGCTGAATGACCTAGGAGTGAGCCCAGCTGAACTCACTAGGAGCATTTACTTAAAGTACCATACTATTAGGCTAGATTTTGTTTAGAGTACAGGGACTGAAATCAAAGAAATGTAAGGGACCATCAACATGGTCTGGGCAAATAAGTCTGTAGGTGTCCTAGTCTGTTCCAGTAGGATGACAGGAAGAATATCATAATTTAAATAATAGTAGCATTTCAGAATTAGCTATAAATTAACATGGCCTATTTGATGCAAATGTGTGGACTCTTTTGTCCTTGGGGCAGGGGGGTAAAGCATAGATGACCATCCTACCTGGTGAGAAAGTTGCAAAATTGCAAACCCACCCTTCCCCACCCTTCTCCCTGAAACGCATCCATGACTCTAGACTCTCCTTTACTGTTTTGAGTTGCCCCACGCCTGGATTAGGTCTCCAAGTCAACATCCTTACAGGACTGTTTTGTTTCAGTATATGAAAAGCTGTTGTTTGTTTAGACAGTCATTCTTTGAAGAGGGAAAGGAACAGAAGAAAATGGTGGGTGTTGACTAAACTAAGCACACCATAATCTTTTCTCCTCTGTACACCTCAGGTTTATTTTGTTTCTGCAGAATCATCAACACACACTCCCAGTTTGTTTAGAAAGGAAGCGCACACTTACCCCTAAACATACACATAGGAACAGAAAAGTAAACAGTTATTGTACAGACATTTGTACCGGCCTCAAAGTCCACGACTATTGGCACTCCAATAGGGATTGTGCATTTTGATATATTAAAAAATGGATCATTGGCCAGGCGTAGAAGAAATTGGCAAACTAAAGCTACAACAGGAAGGAATTTAATGTGCCACACGCAGAAGCAGACATTAGAGGTAGCCTGTGTTTAGATGAGAAAAATCCTTAACTAATGGAAGTTTTAGAGTGTCACAAAAGGAATCTGTCTCGCCTTCAGGAATATACAAATTAATTTGCTTTGTTTAAAAACTGATTTTCAGGGCTTAGGCATGGGACCACCATTATATATAAAGTTTGTATTTATATGCATAGATGAGCCTGCAATAGCACTGACTATAAATTAAATGAAAATACATTTGACATTCCGTCCATGACAGATCAGGAAAGAGATCTTCATCAAGAAAGCTTGATGAAAGTGTCAACCCAGTGTGTGCCGGCTGTGAAGAAGGTCAATTCCATGCTAGGTATCATCAAAAAGGGGACTGAAAATAAAACAGCCAACATTATAATGCCATTGTACAAAACGCTGGCAAGGCCGCACCTCAAGTATTGTGTAGAGTTCTGGTTGCTGCACCTCAAAAAAGGCATTGTGGAACTGGAAAAGGTGCAGAAGAGAGCGACTAAAATGATGCCTGGACTGGGGCACCTTCCTTATGAGGAAAGGCTACAGTGTTTGGGGCTCTTTAGTTTAGAGAAAAGGTGCCTGAGGGGGAACATGATTGAGATGTATAAAATTATGCAGGGGATGGATAAAGTGGATAGAGGGAAGCTCTTTTCCCTCTCATGCAATACTAGAACCAGGGGACATCCACTAACAAATTGAGTGTTGGGAGAGTGAGAATAGACAAAAGAAAATATTTCTTTACCCAGCATGTTGTTAATCTGTGGAACTCCTTGCCACAGGTTGTGGTGATGGCATCTGGCCTAGATGCCTTTAAAAGG